TTCATGACAGAGCTTGTGTGGCGGTGTATACCACCACATCTATTGTGTACTGGTGTATATGTACATGTATATCACATCTATTGTATACTGGTGTATATGTACATGTATATCACATCTATTGTATACTGGTGTATATGTACATGTATATCACATCTATTGTATACTGGTGTATATGTACATGTACATCACATCTATTGTGTACTGGTGTACATTACGTGTATGTCCACTTCTTATGATACTTTTTCTCTTTTGTGTCTTTTCCTACTTTTCCTTTTTCCTTTATCTTGCTTTCATTAATCTTGATCGTTTCGTTTCTCCAATGAAGTTTGACTACTAGTGGGGGATCAAGCTTGGGATCATTTTTTCTCTTCTTTTCTATTCTGTCCCTCCATGAAATCGCGATTCCACGGATGCAACAAATGTCGCGATTTTGGTCCGAATCCGCGACTTTCTGAAAAATCCGCGATTTCCCACGTTTTTGTTGTTTTCTGCACTTCTTTTTACATTTCTATGCACTTTTCACGCAGTATATAGTGCTTTCCATGATTCTGTATGTTGGGTATTTGCACAGTACGCAAATAGCGATTCTAAGGATGCAACAAATTTCGTGATTTGGCCCAAATCCGCAATTTTCTGCCAATAATTCCGTGAGTTCCTGGCAAGTTCTGCACTTTTCGCCGCATTTTTTGTTGTTTTCTGCTGCAATTTCTTGCGCAAGTTTTCGAGGATTTTTCCCGCAAATTCCAGCAGCTACACAGAGGTACAATCTATTGTCCTCGGTCTCCCATAATTATAATAAACTTTCTGCAGTTCTTTTACTAGCGGCTCTAATTTGGCTGACTGTAGCATCACTCTGCATGATCTGTGAACACAATATCTCTAGAAACCTTGTACTGTAGAACGGGTAATTTTAGCGATGTAAAAACCCTAGCGAATCTAGCGATTGACTCGTTTTCGCTAAAAATTCAAGTCGCTAATCCGTTGAGACATTACAAGATTCTACTGGAAATTTAGCAGATTTTACTGGAAAAGCAGTGAAATTGGCAGAACAATGCACACCTTATGCCTGGCAAATCCTTTTTAGATTCTGCTCCATTCCCTTATCCACATACAAAGCATGCACTGTACATACCTGAGAATTGCTAAATTCTGCCTGCACTATCCGCTATGTACTGGTTTAGTATTGCATGTAGTACTTGTGCAGTAGAGGTAGCGGGGAACGAGTGGTGTTTGTTTTATTTCAGGGGAACACTCGTATAATTATATAGTTAGTTATACATAGAGACGGTGGTACTGTAAGTTCTATCTTACACATCAATTGCGAGTTGTATCTATTTCTTAGAGTGCTATTTTATTACCAAATTTGTGTTGTCTCTTTGCTATGGTTCTTATTTTCAACGGCCTCACGCAAATAACTTTGTGAATAGGCAAGTTCTCAACTAATGTATTGGATATGTGACTAGGTGTCTTGTCTTAAGCATTTCTATACTGCTGCTCCTCCGTGTTCCAGTTTTGTGACACGAGAATGGCACGAGAATTAGTGTACCACTGAGTGTACCGCTATACACGTGGTCGACACGTTGTTGACACGTTGTTGATACTTTGTTGACACGTGACCCTGTCAGCGGTCTGCTTTGTGCCAATACCACTCGGTAAAGGCTGATGTTGCGTACGAGAAAGCAATCGCACGACAGTGGCGCGACTACTTTCCCGTACGGGAAATAGTTGAGAACTGCAGAATTCTAGAAGTCGACCTGACGGGAAGGAGAACTGCAGAAGTCGACGAAGACGAACGAGGAGGCCCCTTTCGGTACCCCGTACCGCAAAGTGCCATTGGTGAATGTCTTCTGCAAGTGGAACAGCCCCGTAAACGCTGTCGCGTCAGCGGACTGAATGCGCAGGACGAAAAGAATGCTGCAAAGACGTCCGCTCTAGGCCTTTGGACACATTGCGGGAACTCCTTCCGGTACCCCCATACCGCAAAGTGCCATTGATGATCGATGAATGTCTTCTGCAAGTGGAACGGCCCCGTAAACGCTGTCGCGTCGGCGGGCTGAATGCGCAGAACGAAAAATATTGCTACAATTAAAAGACGTCCGCTCTAGGCCTTTGGAGACATGGTGCGAACTCCTTCCGGTACCCCCGTACCACAAAGTGCCATTGATGAATGTCTTTTGCAACTGGAACGGCCCCGTAAACGTAGACTGAATGCGGAGGACGAGAAATATTGCTGCCAAGATGTCCGCTCTAGGCCTTTGGAGGCATCGTGCAAACTCCTTCCGGTACCCCCGTCCCGAAAAGTGCCATTGAGAATAGACTGACCTGACGCCGTGACGGGAAGGAGAACTGCAGAAGTGGACGAAGACGAACGAGGAGGAATCAGGACGAGCGAGCAATGGCAGGACTGTAAGTAATAGCTCAATTAGAAATGAGAACTTGACATTCATGGCACTCGCTACTTGCCACTTGCCACTGCATATTTCTTGTCCACTCACAATGTCTCTCCTCTGTCCCCATATTGCCTTTTTCAAATTTGAGTGCGGATGCAGATTTTCTCGTTCTGCGGTTTTCTTAGCTCATGTCCCAAGTATGTCTAGCAGTACCTCCAGGAGTTGCTGCATCAACCTTAGTAAGGATTTTGCGTCAGAGGACCATGCCTTCTTCGCCAAGCTGCTTCTCGGAGCAGGGGTTCGGAGCACGGACATCCGAGTTATTGATATTCAGGGCAGGAGAGGTACGTGCAAAGTAACTCTTGCCTCGACAGCTGCCCGTGACACGTTGCTCTCCCGCGGACTGTCGGCCCAAGGGAAGACCTTGGAATTGTTGCCAGGGGATGGCACTGCTGAAACGGTGCATGTGTTTGGAGTTCCGGAGGACATGGCGCTGTCGGCCATTGCGTCTTCACTGAGTCGTTTTGGGACACTCTTGGGGCCCGCGAAAAACGAGAAAAAGACGGTTGAGGGCTGCACCTTCAGTACAGGTATCGTATACTACACCATGGTACCCACAATCGCTGTCCCCAGCTCCATCACCGTAGGCCGGTACAAACTGCGAGTTTGGCACAAAGGGCAGACCCCCACGTGCTGGAAATGTAGCACCCCCGGCCACGTGGCGAGGGATTGCAGGGCGATCTCGCAGCAGGGCACCAAGCCCAGTCCGGGAGCTGCAACGTCAACAAGCGAGCTTGGACCACCCCAAGAACCGCTTGGGCAGGGGCAGGAAAACCAAGAAGTGGCAGCGCTACCAACACCAGCAAAACAGCAACAAGAAGGCAGTGTGAACAAGGAGGCACAGGATCATGTCCCTGATGCACCACAACCTTGGACGTACGCCAATGCGTTGGGAGTTCACACTCCCTGCACGAGTGCTCGAACCGAGGCGACTGCCCCCACATCTTCATCCACACCCGCGTTCCCGATGAGTAGAGGCAAAGCTGGTCACCCATCACCCGATGACCAAGGCTTCAAGCTGGCTCGTGGGAAACACACGTTCCCAGCGCGTGTTATTACTCCGGCTACAAAGCAAGGAGTCCAGGTGACTGAGAGTGAGGAGAGCAAAGCCATTCGTCAACTCGTCACAAGGCTTCGGATGAGTATGCCACAGCGAAAGCTCGGGAGCAGGCGAAGGGACAGCTTGTAAGTTGTTAGAGGTTGCGCGCCTTGCATTGTTTGTCTCATTGGCTTATTCCGCATTTGTCTGTATCTATCTGCATCAACATTTTAGCCCCTACTATGACTCTCCCTCTCAATCCTCATGCACCACCTTTTATACCCCATGCATCTACGCCGACTCAGTCTGGCATCAAAATAGCCACGCTCAATGCATGTAGTTTAAGATACAAACTGCCAGAGATTGCCAGCCTCATCCGCACGCGTCAGTACGACATCTTGGGTCTATCAGAGACATGGCTAGATCCCGAGATTACAGACGGAGAGCTCAGTATTGACGGGTACAATCTGATTCGAAAAGACCGCACTCAACGCTTGGGTGGCGGAGTCTGCTTCTACTACCGTCAAGATCTCCCAGTTCGATCCCGCCCAGATCTGCATTCTGAATCTACAGAAACAGTCTGGGTAGAAATAAACGGAAAACCAGGTCGACACCTGGTTGGTTGCGTGTACCGGCCACCGGGGGAGCCAGTGTCTTACTGGGCAGATTTGGAAGCAGATATTGTACGAGCAGCTGTGCAGTTTATGCGTTGAGCATACGCCAGCCCGTTGTGAGTATGCAGCAAACACACTGCGACTGTAGTGTGCTGCCCCGGGCTGAAACGCAGGGCTGCAAGCCATACTCAGGTTATAAAGCTAAAAACTTTTTTTCTCACACAATGTATTCTTCTATTGATAACCTTTCGCGCTGTGGCGCATGTTTGGTGTGTTGTATCACCTCGTTTCTTTTTCCTGTTTTTCACATTTTTAGCTGTCCATATCAAAGTATTTTGCAAGCAGTTCCCCTTCCATTTTAATGTAAATCATGCATGTCGACAAATAAACAGTGCTCACTGCACGTCCTTCTTGTTGCTGTCCAAAAAGCTTCATAGATTTTCAAGACTATCTCGGGAATCCTCTTTATAACTTCCCTCAAAAGGTAAAAGTACATATTTGTAGCATGAACGCAGTGTCGACACCATAATAATACAACTCTGGCCCGGGCTGGTCTGTTTAGATGTGCTTTTTCTGGCCCGCCTAGCCGGGATCCCGGATGGCTCGGGGCGGGATCCCGCCTAGCCGGGATCCCGGGTGGCTCGGGGCGGGATCCCGCCTCGCCGGTCCAGCCCGCTTGCCATGTAAACGCACCACAGGTTTTGTGTGCATTTGTGTACAACCCCGAGATCCCGTTGCAGGCGGGCTGGCCCACCTGTCGACCAGCCCGGGCTGGAGCTGCACATAATTATAATCACCACCTGTAAGGGGGTGATTACATGTGCAGCTCCAGCCCGGGCTGGTCGACAGGCCCGCCTGCAACGGGATCTCAGGGTTGGACACAAATTCGCACAAAAC